GATACAAGGAAACAGGCCACCCTGGAAAGCATTCGGACAACTCGCCCACTGGAACTTGTCTGTGTTGACTTCCTGTTCCTGGAGAGGTCAAAGGGAGGATGTGAGCACATCTTGGTGGTCACAGATCACTTCAGTCGCTACACACAGGCTTATCCCACGAAAGATGAGAGGGCAGCGACGGTAGCAAGTGTCCTTTGGGAGAAGTTTATGGTTAATTATTGTATCCCAGAGAGATTACATTCAGACCAAGGGAGGTGTTTCGAATCCCGTGTTATCCAAGAGTTGTGCAGCTTGCTCGGGGTGAAGAAGACAAGGACCACACCTTACCACCCTCAGGGAAATGGCATGACCGACAGGTTCAATCGAACTCTGCTATCGATGTTGGGAACTCTAGAACCACAATGCATGTGGGTGCACTCACACACGCATGCAACTGCAGCAGACATGAGTCCATCGGACTCTCCCTGTTTCATCTGATGTTCTGAGAAAACGAAAGGTACCCGTTGACCTGCTTTGTCCAGCAACAGACCCAGAGCACTCTAACCCAGCCCCGACCCTTCAACATACGTCCAGTGACTCAGACAGCATATGCGCAAGGTCTTTCGGGAGGCACAGCAGACTTCGGAGAGGTCAAGGGCCAGACAGAAAGCGGGGTATGACAAGAAAGTGCGTGAAAGTGTCATACAACCAGGAGACAGAGTCCTTGTGGCCAACAAGTCGGAGCGAGGGAAGTCTAAGTTAAAGGACGGGTGGGAAGCCGTCCCACGTGTAGTGGTACAGAAATTGCAGGGCATTCCGTCTTATATTGTGCAGAGAATAGGCGCCCCGGTTGTGAGAACCCTGCACCGCAACATGCTGATGTTGTTTCCGTTCAATATGATCCCCTTCAAAGATTCAACTTCTGGACAATACGAGACTGACACAGCAGAAGGCGTACCTGTAGTCCCACCACCAGATAGCTTCAAGGATTCCAAGACGGGCCACAGCTCATCAGGGGATGCAAACTTTGAGAAGAATTTGCTGGAGGAAGCTCAAGATTCCTCTGACAGCCTGGCAGCTTCATCAAGGAGAAGTGCGACTTTCCACGGCCCTGCACGAGCCAAGGTCGCCGACAGTGGTGCAGGGGATTCTTCTTCAGAGGACGAACAACTCACACGCCCTCGACGGTGACAAATTAAGCCCCCTGATAGGTTTGGCGATTGGTTGTAGGTTCCCTTAAGTTCTCTCATTGTTGAGGACAACAATACTTGTAAATGGTGGAGAGTGTAAGGAGGATGATTTTAATCGTCTACATGTTCAATAACTTCAGTTCCCTCCCACTTGAAAATGATTTTTTTTTAGCTTGATCCTGCCCCTGGTAAGGTAACATCATTCTCACAGTAATTAGACCCTTGAACAAAGAGCCCCTTTGATTTAGCACCATGTGCTCAGCATTCCTTCTAGACCCACTCAATTTGCAGCCTGGCAGTGAAGAGCACACACCACATTTTTATGAGTTCTCTACCCCTCGCCTAGTCTGCCGTTTTATTCGGTAAGTTCCCCTTATATTACTTCGTTTTCCTTAATGAAACTGTTGGAAAGAAGATTTTATTGTGTGCTGTAGATTACCCTAGGTTCTATTCAGGATATTTTTATTACATGGTGAAGTTTTTTGTTGTATTAATACAATGAATACAGTCAGGTACATGTGCATGTACTTGAGTTTCCATCCTCTCGGTCAATCTTTAGTCTTATTTTAAAAAATAGGTTTATCTCATGTTTTATGAAATACATGTAACTTGTGAGAGATTGGTATTACGGCATGATCATGTTTGTGCTCGATTCCTGAAGTCTACAGATTTACTCCTGTTCCTGATTTTTTTATGCATTCTTACTAGATTATGTTTGCCATTTTATTGCTCTGTCTTTATTAGTGATGTTCTTTGCTGTTGGGATGGAAAACTAGAGGAATTTGGTTTTGACAAGCTTTAAATTTTACTCATCGTAATCTGTGTAGTTTGTGCCACAGTCATGACTAAAATGTATTATTTTGCCCTGCATACCTGTGTTGGAAGGATTCAAGTTCTCAAACATCTTTTTTTCACACTTCAGAGCTGTTTTCACGTTGTGTTTTTCTTAAGCCTAAGTATTCAACAGTGATTTTCTTTCTTGTTTTGTCTATTACACTGTACATACAACTGATACATGTAGAAGAGTCACATTCATAGGATCAGTGGCCCTGTATGTAGAGAGGTGCTTTACGTTAGTGTTTCAGCAGTTTAGACTTGGTCCTTAGTCCTTTGGTTAATATTAGCACCTAATTTTCCTTGCAACTCGTCCCTACCTGATCAAATTTGAACTTTTTTTAGCGGGTTCCCCAAATTCTGGTTTGTTTTTTTTAGTTTATTTATACTCAGTTTAGGGTGCCATTTTTCTGTGCTACAACATCATTATACAAAACTCATGCTGCTGCGAAAACCCATTTTCAGAATGGCAGACCGACTACGGACAGACACACTGCAAACAACACGTGGGTGCAGTAACAAACGTGCACGTGTGTAGTGTAAGCGTGAAGCTGGTTCCCTTAACGCCTTCCACATGTAGGTTTTACCATAACAGTATCTCATTAGAATATAATTTACCCATGGCTGGGAATGCAGGAATACCTCATTCCTAAGATGGCCGCGAGTCACGTTGGCTTTAATTCCCCGGCAGTCCAGGACAACCATGTCAGTTAATCGTTAATAATTGTTAATAGACCATTAATCACAGTATACTAGTTGTGTGTCAAAACCTGTTTGTAACAAAAGACCATTACACGTGCGTAATTGGCAGGATAAGATGGTGGGAGATTTTATGGATTGTTTTCATCGTGTCAACTAAACTGTGATTGTGACGGCAGCAGCCTGCTGCG